GTCACACTTGTAGATTCAGCTTTTTCCTCATGACTTGTCAAATGAAAAGACAAGTGGCATTTCGTAGCTGCAGAGTAACTACAGAGATGACGGTTAAATGGGTTTTCTCTTATGTGGGTTTTCATGTGTTGGGATGATAAATATTTTAGGTCTGTCCTGAACCCACACTCCCTACAGATGCAGCGTTTCTCATTGGTGTATGTTGGTAGATGTTTGCCCAAAGCAGATTTCCGTGCAGCAGAATAGTCACACTGATCACTGTTGTAAGGTTTTTCTCCTGTATGGGTTCTTATGTGAACGGATAAGCTGGACCTTAGGGCTGTCCTAGTCTGTACCCGCACTCCTAACTCATGTAGGGTTTCTCATGAGTGTGTTTTGTGAGATGACGGTCTAAATGGGATTTCTGTGCCGCAGAATAGTCACACTGGTCACATCTGTAAGGTTTTTCTCCTGTATGGGTTCTCATATGTTGGGATAGATAGTCCTTTCTAGCTGTCCTGTGCCCACACTCCTCACACATGTAGGGTTTCTCTCCAGTGTGTTTCAATAGATGTTTGTCCAAATCGAATTTCCGTGCTGTAGAATAGTCACACTGATCACACCTGTAGGGTTTTTCTCCGGTATGGGTTCTCATATGTTGGGACAAATAGTCCTTTCTGCCTGCCCTGTACCCACACTTTTCACACATGTAGGGTTTCTCACCAGTGTGTTTTGTGAGATGATTGTCCAATGTACCTTTTCGTGCTGCAGAATAATCGCACTGGTCACACTTGTAGGGTTTTTCTCCTGTATGGATTTTCATATGTTGGGATAAGTGATACTTTCGAGTTGTCCTGTACCCACACTCCCCACATATGTAGGCTTTCTTACCGGCATTATGCAAGTTGACTTGTTGTGCTGCCGCCTTGTTTTTAGCATTTTTTGTTTTGCTTACCAGAGAAACCCCAATGGGAGACCCATCACATGAATTCTGACCAACTCCGGTTGGAGACCTGTGTTCTGCTTTTGCCATGTTTTTGTTGAGTCTGATGAGAAAAGGAAAAAAATTATAAGGATATAATTGTAAAGCCTTATATACCAGACTTACGATTAGCATAAAATAATATACATGTATTTCTAATTCTAAAGTGATCAGGCTTTGACCTAATTATTTACAACTTAGCAAATGGTGAAAAAAAACAAAGTGTTTTTCAGTTAAACGCCTTATGGGTATTTGCAGAACTTGCATTTACTTATTTGCATTTATATTTATATAATTATGTTTGTTTTTATGATGATGTTTGTTTTAAAATCATCACAATATTCTAAAGAGCTATTTTCCTAATGTATGTCGTACATTAATTTGGTCAGAGGTCCAAGTATGTTTTGTTTCGTCCCCCTCCCTAATTTCCACTACATTTTTATCCCGGGAAATTTCTATAAATTACATCGTCCTACTGCGGTCCTAAGTCTTCTTCCACAGAAATAGCCTTAATATATTGACCTTAACTGTTAACATCTGGATATTTTTCTGTTCGTGTCTATGTCTTACCTGCTTCCTATGATGGTTTTTCTCTCACATTACATATTTGGTAACCATACTATCCATTTTCTGTTTTCACATATCAATTTTACATGTTTCCAAATTTGTACTTTACGTGTCTTGCGAATCCAGTTAACATTCCCATATTACTATATTATTCCACGTCCTCCAAAAAACGCCACTTTGCCTGATGCAGCATGACGTACATGTACGTGGCAAGGATCGAACCAATTCCTTTGTCAAACGCATGTTTGGTTTCCCCCCTGCTAGTTTGCTTCATTGCGTTATCAAATAAAATGTTAAGACCACTTACAAACAACTTCTACAAACAGCGCAGAATTATGAAGATACCCGTGATTAATAAACATGCTGCAAACTAAAGTAATGGAAGTCCTCCGAATGATTCTCTTTGTAATATATAATATGTACCTGTATAACCGCTTTATGTCGACGAACAATGGGTTTGAAAAATTTGTTTTCGCCCGTCGCGTGCCACCGGCGGATCAGTGTAAATTGGCTTCCCTGCAAGTGAAAGAACCGGATCCATGGGCCTTGATTGATAAATTATTCATAAATCGGTCGCCGCTAGAATGGCATTCAGTGACAAGCGCCCCCTCCCCCTTCAATTCCACAAAATACCATCTCAAAAACCTCTATATATTTTCGTCCTACTGCGATCCTTCTTCCACAGAAATGACCTCAAGCTAATCTTCTCAACATCGGAATAGTTTTCTGTTCGTTTCTAAGCCTTACCTGCTTCCTATGGTGGTTTTTCTCTCACATTACATATTTGGTAACCATACTATCCAATTTCTGTTTTCACATATCAATTTTACATGTTTCCAAATTTGTACTTTACGTGTCTTGCGAATCCAGTCAACATTCCCATATTTCTATATTATTCCACGTCCTCCAAAAAAGGCCACTTTGCCTGATGCAGCATGACGTACATGTACGTGGCGAGGGTCGAACCAATTCCTTTGTCAAACGCATGTTCGGTTTCGCCCCTGCTAGTTTGCTTCATTGCGTTATCAAATAAAATGTTAAGACCACTTACAAACAACTTCTATACAAACAGCGCAGAATTATGAAAATACCCGTTCTTAATACACATACTGCAAACTAAAGTAATGGAAGTCCTCCAAAAATTCTCTTTGTAATATATTATATGTCACCGCTTTATATCGACGAACAATGGGTTTGAAATATTTGTTTTCGCCCGTCGCGTGCCACCGGCGGATCAGTGTAAATTGGCTTCCCTGCAAGTGAAAGAACCGGATCCATGGGCCTTGATTGATAAATTATTCATAAATCGGTCGCCGCTAGAATGGCATTCAGTGACAAGCCCCCCTTCAATTCCACAAAATACCATCTCGAAAACCTCTATATATTTTCGTCCTACTGCGATCCTTCTTCCACAGAAATGACCTCAAGCTAATCTTCTCAACATCGGAATAGTTTTCTGTTCGTTTCTAAGCCTTACCTGCTTCCTGTGGTGGTTTTTCTCTTCACGTAAACAGAAACTGGTGCTGCTTTGTCTTTCTGTCGTCTCCTGAGGTCAGAGGTGAACTGCATTATGGTCAAAGGTGAAGTTATCTGCCTAATTACCTCAGGTGGCACGTTACGCTTTAGTTTCCTCATAATATAAACGTTCTACACTTTTAACAAGAGTTCCGAGATCTCATACCTCCATGAAATATGGGCTTGCTTTGTCATGCATTTCAACATGTCCTCATTAATTATGCAAATGACCTCCACATTAACATAATATATGCATAGTGGTGTTAACCTTTAAGTAACTTACACATGTCACAAGGTTTAAAGTCCCATCATTCACCAATAAGGAGTCACAGAATTTTCACATTAATTATGCAAATTAGGTCATCATTTGCAGAATTGGTATCTGTTGAAGTTCCGCCTGCCACAGATTAAATAAAATTACTATTACATTAAACACTGCAATGATAGCATTTTCTCATTAATTATGCAAATTAAGTCCTCATTTGCATAATTTGCATCTAATTATGTACAACTCTCTCTCAGCTACCTATACACCAAAAATGACGAAAATACGTTGTTCCTATCTGGACTGGCTTTTAAAGATTTCACCAGAAAGTGTCCTGCAGTTCCAGAACAAGCTGCTAGGGGGACCAAATTTACACCACTTATTCCTGACAGGAAAAGCTATCTGTCACCAAAAAGTCAAGACCATAGCATGTTCAGGACAAAAGATACAAAAACCGGAAGTTCTGCTGCAGTACCTAGGTCATCCACCAGGAGGCCCATATTTGACCTTGAACTTTGTCTTCCTAAGACTTACCAACATACTAAATATCATCATAATCCAAAAAGGCGTTATGAAGTTATGCTGACTACAATTGTGCGGAAACACAAACACAGACACACACACACACACACACACACACAGACACTCCAAAAACAATGCATCCATTTTTCATAGAGGTAAAAACGCAAAAGTGTACTATAGAAGGCGCACTCCAGCCAGCATGGCCAGAGAGGTAGGGTTGATGTTCCATGGGGAAGACTGAGGCTAGAAAGGAAGGCATGGAAGCTGGTCCCACTGTACTGCACGAGGGAAGGAATGTCAAGCTAAATTTTTTGGCCTGAATCTTCATTTCTGTGTTTTATGATCAACTAACCACCTCTGACAGTATTCCATCCAAGAAAAAAAAGTAACACAGAAGGAAACATTGCGTTCAAGGTACGAAACGATTTAATCGTGTTAGCGAAAATTTGTAAATTTTGTAAAAAATGTAGACACATCTTCAAAAAGAAATGCAAAACAGGAAATTCTACTCGTGTACAACCTATCGTCTACATTTTTACTGCCGCAAGATTACTTCCTAATGTTGTAAACTGCACGAAGCACATCAGCCGTTTCAAGAGTTGATATTATTCACATAATATAATTGTGTTTGTAGGACATATAGGCAAACCAATGTTAGAAATACCCATGGTTACATTTGCAGAGTTGGTGCCTCCGTGTGAATTTTCATATGTCGAGTTAGGACAGACCTGGAGGCTGCAGAATAGCTACACTGGTCACACCTGTAGGGATTTTCTCCTGTATGAGCTCTCATGTGTTGGGATAAGTAAGACATGTGAGTTGTCCTGTATCCACACTCCCCACACATGTAGGGTTTCTCACCAGTGTGTTTTGCTAGATGAGCGTCTAAACTGGATTTCTTTGCTGCAGAATAGCTACACTGGTTACATTTGTAGGGTTTTTCCCCTGTATGGGTTCTCATATGTTCGGATAAGTTGAACTTTTTTGCTGTCCTGTACCCACACTCCCCACACATGTAGGGTATCTCACCAGTGTATTTCATTGGATGTTTGTCCAAATCAGATTTTCGTGCTGCAGAATAGTCGAACCGGTCATACTGGTAGGGTTTTTCTACTGTATGGGTTCTTATATGATGGGATGAGACGTGTCCGTACATTGTCCTGTATCCACATTCCTCGCACATATAGGGTTTCTCACCGGTATGTTTTGCTAGATTAATGTCCAAGTTGGATTTTCGTGAAGCAGAATAGTCACACTGGTCACACGTGTAGGGTTTTTCTCTTGTATGAGTTCTCATATGTCGGGATAAGTGAGACTTTTGGGCTGTCCTGTATCCACACTCCCCACAGATGTAGGGTTTCTCATCAGTGTGTTTTGCTAGATGAATGTCCAAGTTGTATTTCTGAGCGGCAGAATAGTCACACTGGTCACACTTGTAGGGTTTTTCTCCTGTATGGGTTCTCATATGTCGGGATAAGTGAGACTTTTGAGTTGCCCTGTATCCACACTCCCCACACATGTAGGGTTTCTCACCAGTGTGTTTCAATAGATGTTTGTCCAAATCAAATTTTCGTGCTGCAGAATAGTCGCACCGGTCACACTTGTAGGGTTTTTCTCCTGTGTGGGTTCTCATATGTTGGGATAGGTTTGACCTCACAGCTGTCCTGTATCCACACTCCTCACACATGTAGGGTTTCTCACCGGTGTGTTTTGATAGATGTATGTCCAAAGTGGATTTAAGTGCTGCAGAATAGTCACACTGGTCACACTTGTAGGGTTTTTCTCCTGTATGGGTTCTCATGTGTCGGTCTAAATGAGACTTGCTAGCTGCCCTGTATCCACACTCCCCACACATGCAGGATTTCTCACCAGCGTTATCCAAGTTGACTTCTTGTGCTGCCGCCTGGTCTTTATAATTGACTGTTTTGCTGTCACAATCCACCTGGAAAACCCCGGTGGGAGACTCATCACAGCAGTTCTGACCAACTCCGGTGGGAGACCCGTGTCCTGTCGTGGCCATGTTCAGTCTAATAAAAAAATTGTATCAAAGTATTGAAACAAATTTGTAACAGTCCCGAATAAAACAAGCTATACAATTATAGACTAAAGTAACAACCTAACGCACCAAAATTCTAACGTGTTGTCTTTCTCGCATTTGAATAAATTTGCTTCTATGTTGTTACTAAATCATAAATCGTGAGATCTTACACTCACTCACTCACTCACTCACTCACTCACTCATACCGTATCATGACCAACCTAGCGAATGGAGTCAGTTGTCCCCATTATTGTTTGTTGTCGTAGAAGTAATAAATAATATATTAAGAGGTTTTGAGTGAGCTCGGTGGTATGTCATTATGTCATACCACCGAGCTCACTCAAAACCTCTTAATATATTATTTATTAATTCTACGACAACAAACAATAATGGGGACAACTGACTCCATTCGCTAGGTTGGAAAGAGAGTCTGCAGTATAGGTGTGGTCACAAGGCTCCTTTATTCACTGTTTTCACAAATCAGTTCTTGTATATTATTTCCGTTACTATAACATCCCCTGTGTATGTTTAGTTTCGCCCCCCTCCCCTTCATATTTTTCACCTTACCATTCACAACCCGAAAATGCCTACAACGTACCGTCCTATTGCGGTCCTTATTCCACAGAAATGGTCTCAAGCTATTCCCCTCAGCATCAAAATATCTTTCTGTCCGTTTCTAAGCCTTACCTGCTTCCTATGACAGTTTTCATATGTAAACCGGTACTCGGGCAGCTTTGTCCTTCTGTCGTCTCGTGAGGTCAGAGCTGAACTCTATGCGGGTCAAGGGTGAAATTGTCTACCTGATTACCCATGTAATACATTTGACGCAAGATAACACTTTCCTCATAATGTCAACGTTCTGCATTTAAAACCGACCATCTTAACAACGTAACACGCGTCTGACTTTTGTTACTGATCTAATAAAAAGAGTTATGCTAAAGGAATAAATGGCAGACCAAACTGTTTGCGCTGAATCTTGATTTCTGTGTTTTAAGATCAACTCACCACCTCTGACGTCCAAATAAAAAAAAACACAGAAGAAAACATTATGATCAAGGTACATAAAGATTCATTTGTGTTGGTGATACATTTAAAAAAACACTACAAAACAAACAGGAACTATTACTCGTAAACAACATAACGTCAGTATGTTTTTACAACTGTAAAATTACTTCCTTCTGTTGGAAACTAAAGTCAGTCATTTTACACTGATGAAAATAAACGAAAAGATTTTACTGCGAACCAAATGCTTGATATTAGTCAAAAGATATTTGTTTGCCATACATATAGGCAAACACTTCGTCAAATTTAAATCATTGACAGAAAATCGAATACTAACTCAATACTAACGTCTACATTTCAACTACTGTGTACATTCACTTACTGATGTTAGAGGGCCTGCAAGCCCTTTTTCGTAAGGCGTAATCAGGCCTTTTTAGCCTTCGTAATCCGTAGGCGGCCGTCCAAAATCATCGTAATTCGTAATCGGTACATTAGCCGTAACGCGTAATTGGTCGTTTTTATTCTCCGTAAAGCGTAATTAGTTACTTTTATGCGACGTAAATCGTAATCCATGAGATCATAAGAGCGCAGGCTGATTTCAAAATGGTCCAATCCACAACCAAAATTTAGGTCTCAAAATGCTGGAAATAGCGTTTCAGAGAGGTTAAAAATTCAAAATTTCCAGGGGGGGCATGCCCCCGGACCCCCCTAGCAGGCTCGCGCCTGCGGCGCTCGCTGAAATCTTGCCCCCCCCCCCATCAACATTTAAAATCTCGGTGGTTGTGTAGTGATATTCCCCCCGTTCTGGCAGGTGACATGAGTGGGTTAGGCCACGACTAGGAAGCCAGTATCCACAGCATAATTTTATAATATTTATAAATGTTTCTTCCTCTATCGCCATGGCTCAGTGGTTATGAAAAGGTTCATCGTCGCCTATCGCCTAGTGCCTTCGGCAACCACCGGTTCGCAACCGATTTCGGGTGATTTTGGCACCCGCCAGAACTTGTCTTCACTCCAAAAAAACTCCTGAATCTACCGCCTATGCGCTTTATAATATCAACACAAAGTCAATAGTATTGACGTAGAACTATTAGTTGCTGTGTTTTAGACTGTCGGGAATCCTCATGATTTAACGTAATTCGTAATCAGCTCTGAGAATTTAACGTAATTCGTAATCGGCGGCGAAAATTTGGCGTAATTCGTAATCAATACCCCCCCTTGCAGGCCCTCATGTTAATATGTACATGTACGTTATCCAAACCAGTTAACTGTTCTTCACTACAGTTCTAGTTAGCTATAAAAAAGAATATGGATTGTTGTTCAAAATGGTTGATGCTAGAACAAAGAATACATGTACTAGGTTGCCCGTCTTCTTCAAACTAAAAAAAAAAAGTTCTACAGAGAAATAAAATGCAGTGGAAAAAAAATACATACATATGACATTTCCTCAGGAAAAAAAATTAATAATATGCCTTTTTGCAAATTATTTTGCAAAATTATACACCCTAAAATACCTTATGTATCAAGGTGATATATCATTGGTATCGAGATAGAGAAGCTATAGTTAAGAATGTCCGTACAAAATGTAACTATTAGATGGACAGTTCCAGAGTTGGTGCCTCTGTGTGAATTTTCTTATGTTTAGTGAGGGCTGACTTAGAGACTGTAGAATAGCTACACTGGTCACACTTAAACTTAAAGGGTTTTTCTCCTATATGGGCTCTCATATGTCGGGATAAGAGAGACTTTTTAGCTGCCCTGTATCCACACTCTCCACACATGTAGGGTTTTTCACCGGTGTGTTTTGTGAGATGATAGACTAAATGAGGTTTCTGTGCTGCAGAATAGTCACACTGGTCACATTTGTACGGTTTCTCTCCTGTGTGGGTTCTCATATGTTTTGATAAGTCAGACTTTTGAGTTGTCCTATACCCACACTCCCCACACATGTACGGTAGATCACCAGTGTGTTTTGCTAGATGTTGGTTCAAAGCAAATTTCTGTGCTGCAGAATAGTCACACTGGTCACACTTGTAGGGTTTTTCTCTTGTATGAGTTCTCATATGCAGAAATAAGGTGGACTTTTGAGCTGTTCTGTATCCACATTCCTCACACATATAAGGTTTTTCTCCTGTATGGGTTCTCATATGTCGGGATAAGTCAGACTTTTGAGCTGTCCTGTACCCACACTCCCCACACTTGTAGGGTTTTTCTCCTGTGTGGGCTCTCAAATGTCGGATTAAGTTAGGCCTGTCAGATGTGCTGTATCCACACTCCCCACACATGTAGGGTTTCTCATCAGTGTGTTTTGCTAGAGGTTGGGATGATGAATTTTTCTTTAGTGTTTCTCCAATATGGCTATTCATAGTAAAGCAAGACTCGGGACTTGTCCCAAAACTGCTCTCCCCTCTCTCCAAGGGTTTTTCTCCTGTATGGGTTCTCAAATGCTGGGATAAGTGAGACTTTTTAGCTGCCCTGTATCCACACTCCCCACACATGTAGCATTTCTCACCGGTGTGATTTGCTAGATGTTGCGATGAAGCATTTCCTCCAGGTTTTTCTCCTGTATGGCTGTTCACAGTAAAGCAAGACTCGGGAGTTGTCCTAAAACTGCTCTCCTCACTTTCCAAGGGTTTGTCTCCAGTTTTGTCCATCTCTCTTCACTGTTTGGAAAGAAACAGAAATCTAGAATAAAGTAGTGCTAAAGGATTCTTAAACAATTGGAGCCCTGTCTGTAACAATATTTGATTTTTCTTTGTCTGGCCGCAGGCATATACAGATGACACACAAATTCGTGAAGCGTTCCATATTTTTCCCTTACTGTGTACAAATAGGTAAATATATCAAAGAACGTTTAGACCTTATAAGAAGTAGTGTTGGTTGACTCATCTATTGTTTTGTACGTAGGTTAATTTCGTTGTACTGATGTACTAAAAGTATTTGTCTGTATGTCTACATGTAGAAAGTCGCTGTACTTTTGTTGTGTCAATAAAGTTCTGAATGGAATGAAAACACCCCGTGTTTGGTTTCGCCCCCCTCCCCCTTTATTTCTACCATGTTCATACCCAGAAAAATTTGTATTAATTTACTACCTTACTCTGATCACTTTTTCCACAGAAAAGACCTCAGACTATTTATCTCATTATTAGAATACTTTGCTGCCCGTTTCTAAGCCTTACCTGTCTCCTATTATGGTTTTTCTCTTCTTCGAATTCACGTAAACCGTACCTCGTCCGTCCGTCGTAGCGTGAGGTCAGAGCTGATCCCTATGTGGGTCAAAGGTGAATTGTTTGCCTGATTACGAATATAATACATATAAGGCCAGATAGCACGTTACGCTTTCCTTCCAGTGTCAACATTCTGCCAACCACCTAAACAACGTAACAAGCGTCTGACTTTTGTTTCTGATCTAATACGAACGAGAGATTTTGTATCAAGCAAAACTATTTGGTCTGAATCTTGATTTCTGTGTTTAATGATCAACTCACCACTGATAATATTCCATCCAAGGAAAAAGGCAACACAGAAGGAAAAATTTTGTTTTAAGTACATTTGGATTAAATTGTGTTAGCGGAAAATATCTGTAAATATGGACACATGTTCGAAAACAAACACGGCGGTCGGTTGCTAGCCTAAAAGTCGCATTACTAGGGAGGTATCGGGTTACAGAACGTGTTCGAACGTGGCCGCGCGGGAGTCCCGGGCCGGCCCGGGGGCAACGGGTAAAATTTGAAAATAAACAAAAGTAATTGGAGAGTAAATACTCGTCAAAATAAAATGTAATAAGTGATTTTGTTTACCTCAAATGTTATTCTTGCACTGCCTTTGCTCCACTTTGTGTACATTTGCTTCCAAATGAGATCAATGTCGGATTTCAAAAAGGGTTCACGAGAACCAAACAACTGATTTTAAGAGGCCCGAAAATTAAAAATAAGGTTACATTTTTGGATTTTTAGAAATATTACAGTAAATTTAAACTTTCTGTCTTAGGATTTTTTTATTTTTTAACTAAAACTCGACTTACAGTCAAAAGAAGAGCTAAAAACGCAGTGTTTTAACTTTAAATACCGATAATTCATAATCGCGGCCAATATTTAAAAAATCCCTAAGACAGAAATCTGCGGAAATCGTTCCTCTTCCAAACAAGTCCTCAATGAGGTAATTTGAGCGATTTTTGGGAATGGTTAAAATACCATGTTTGCACGCATGCTGTGCCACTTGGATATGGGGACCTGGATTTTATAACAGCGTCAACAAGAATTCTGACCTTCAAGGTCACCCACGATGACGGCAGTAGCTTCGTTACATGTTACATATCCACAATAAAATCACGGCATAGATGTAATGTTTTGAAAACGGTTCATATTTGTGGAAAGGTGGATTTTTCCTGTTCCGTGGTTCCCAAGTAAAAAGGGCTTGAAGTAGCCGTTTGTAGCGGCTTTACTGTAAATGACCGCGGGTAACCTCAGATCGAACGCCCGCTCTATTCGAATGACGTCATATCGAACAAGATTCGCAGGTTCGGGGGATTCGATCTCCATAGTAGCGGAGTGGGACTTTGGGCCCAAATCTGACCATCGTGAAACGGGACATTTTATTAAAATAATAAGTTTCTACTGTTCGAAACTACTTTAAGCACATCGGTCATTTTACACTTCTGATGATCATTACAACCCTAGTCTTAAGAGTTAACATATGTTAAAAAAATAAAATTGTGTTGAGTATATAGGGAGGCACTTCGTCACACAAGCTAGGAACACAACCGTACTAACGTCTACTGTGTACAGTCGTTTACTGATGTTCATCACTAGCTAATCAAGTACAATATCCAAATAATATCACCATGTTTACTGTCATTCCACTACAAAGCTAGATAGCGAAAAACGTTTTTTTTTTCTTTTAGAAAAGATTCAATGCTTGCCCCAAGTATATTACTCTGGCTAAGAATTACATGTATACTTGTAACTGAACCATAGTTCTACAGTGCTTAGAAATACAATGAACAATAGTACATGACTATGGGTCAAAATTGGTCAGAAAAACGGTTTGGAATTTCGCAACTTTTATCCATTTTACAGAATATCGACCCTACAGATGTCGATGTTATACATACCTAAGCTTGGTATCAATAGAGAAACTATAGTTAAGAGATGATTGTGCGCACTAAAATGTCACTTTTGATGAAAATGTCAGTACAAGATGTTACAGTTCCAGAGTCGGTGCCTCCGTGTGAATTCTCGTATGTCGAGTTAGGGCAGACTTGGAGTCTGCAGAATAGCTACACTGGTCACACTTGTATGTATTTTCTCTTGTATGTGCTCTCATATGATAGACTAAGGTAGACTTTTGGGCTGCCCTATACCCACACTCCCCACACATGTAGGGTTTCTCACCAGCGTGCATTGCTAGATGTCGGTCTAAATTAGATTTCCGTGCTGCAGAATAGTGACACTGGTCACATTTGTAGGGTTTTTCTCCTGTATGGTTTCTCATATGTTTGGATAAGTCAGACTTTTGGGCTGCCCTGTACCCACACTCCCCACACATGTAGGGTTTCTCACCAGTGTGTGTTGCTTTATGTTTCTCTAAGGTGCCTTTCTGTGCTGTAGAATAGTGACACTGGTCACACTTGTAGGGTTTTTCTCCTGTATGGGTTCTCATATGTCTGGATAAGTGAGACTTGTTAGCTGTCCTGTACCCACACTCCCCACACATGTAGGGTTTCTCACCAGCGTGCATTGCTAGATGATGGTCTAAATTAGATTTCTGAGCTGCAGAATAGTCACACCTGTCACACTTGTAGGGTTTTTCTCCTGTATGGGTTCTCATATGTCTAGATAAGTCAGACTTTTGAGCTGATCTGTATCCACAAACCCCACACATGTACTGCTTCTCACCAGTGTGTATTGTTCGATGAATGTCCAAACTGGATTTCCTTGCAGCGGAATAGTCACACTGGTCACACTTGTAAGGTTTTTCTCCTGTATGGGTCCTCATATGTTTGGATAAGTCAGACCTTTGGGCTGTCCTGTATCCACACTCCCCACACGTATAGGGTTTTTTACCTGTGTGTTTTACTAGATGATAGTCCAAATTGGATTTCCGTGCTGCAGAATAGTCACACAGGTCACACTTGTAGGGCTTCTCTCCTGTATGGGTTCTCGTGTGTTTCCATAACTGAGACGTTTGAGCTGTCCTGTCTCCACACTGTTTTGCTAGGTGTTGTGCAGATATATATTCCCCATGATTTTCTCCGGTATGGCTGCTCATAGTAAAGGAAGACTCGGGAGTTGTCTTAAAACTGCCCTCGTCACTCTCCAAGTGTTTCTCGCCAGTTTCATTCATCTGTGTTCTCTGGTTGGAAAGAAACAGAAATCCAAAATAAATCAGGGCTAAAGGATTTCTACAAATTTAATGCCCTCGATGAGAACATTAGATTTTTTTGTGTCTGGCCGCATACATATATAGAATGAAACACCCCCCCCCCAAAAAAAAAGAATGATGTTGTAATGTAGCGGTTTCATGATATGACTGTTAGGATTCAAAGAAAATACATGTATCATCTTCAAAATTCATCTGTATCAGTAAAAGTCATGATGAAACATATTTGAACTGCAATTTCCAACACAAGACGAAAATAATTTAGAGGCTAGCTAGAGATGGACGCCATAACCTGAAACAGCAATTGTAAAATCCTTAGCTTGTAAAAATTCTCTGATGTAATTTTTTCTCGTCACCCCAAAGCAGAAAGCTAGCCTGTCATAATGGTAGCCCCAGAGACGGTAAACTGGATCGAAATGGGACAAAAATAGTTCGGGGCCAAGCCGGGGTCGCACGTACATGTTTGGTTGGTTTGGCCCCCCTCCCCCTTCATTTCTACGATGTTCATTATCCGAGAAAAACTCCTATAAATTATAACCTTACTCCGATCCTTTTTCCACAGGCAGCTTTCCACAGAAAGAACCTCCAACTATTTCTTTCGTTATCAGAATACTTTGTTGCTGCCCGTTTCTAAGCCTTACCTGATAACTACGATGATTTTCTCTTCGAGTAAACCTTTCGTTTGTCCTTCCGCTGTAGCCTGAGGTCAGAGGTGAAATCGTTGTGGGTCAAAGGTGGATTTGGTCCCCCTGATAATCCAGATAATGTATTATCTGTTCTGCTCTATTGTCGGTAGCAGAACAGTCCTCACAGAAGACGATGTTCACTTTGATTACCTCCGTGCACCAAATCAGCGGTGGTCGGGCGTAGTTGGAAGTCAAATTTGACTCAAATTTGATTCACATTCGATTCTATTCGTATTATAAATTTGGCAAGGAAGATCCTTCTTACGTGGCAAGACACCATTAGGGAGGTCAGACGCTAACATTTGGATGCGGTGCACTGATTCATACAGAACGTTTGTCAAACTCGCTGACTTTGAAAGCACAGAATTTTCCGCTGGTCTGAACTTAGAGCTTGCCGTTTAAAGCTAGGATTTCCTACCCAATGGAGAATGAAATAAGTTCAGGATGTGAATTGTAACCTTTGTTATTATCTATACAATTATCTCCACTTTTGGGCTGTTAGTCTGACCAATACAGAAAGCAAAAAAGAAAGACTGTATACGTAATCTGCCTCTTTTTTCTTGTAGATTAGTCAAGAAGGTTCCAGAAGATTACATGAGAGAAAAACAAACACACCAAAACTGTAGACCTGAAATTGTCTATCTAAAAAAAAGACCTTGGCAATACGTTATACATGTATATTATCATGTGTATGGGTGAAGTCTCAGATACAAGACCCATGAATGACATGCCATAGCCCATTGTAATATAAGCTCCCCCAATCGTCGTCTGAGATACAGGAAGGTGACTTGCTGCTGTCTTCTCCAAGCAAAGGTGTCCTCAGGTGACCTATGCTTGTCCTTAAATGACCCGAAGCGCCTTCTGTGATCCATGGATTCTAGTCGAACAAAAAGAACACTTGTATTTTCTTTTACCAAACGGCCAACAACAAAACCATCACTGGACAAGGTATGATGCACTATGTCGTCGCAACGAGAGATTAGCGACAAAAGCAAACAAATCCGTACGGTCACTGAAATTGATGCCCTTCGGAAAATAAATAGACAAACTTCTCAACTAAGGACCCAGAGGCGGGACTCCGTACGACCAACTTCTACCGCACAAGATCGGAGGGGATCTCTTTACACTTGCAACAGCAGGAAAGCTTCCTTCACTCTTAAACCACAGGTACTCTTTTGTTTGTTTGTTTGTTTGTTTGTTTGCTCGTTTGCTTGTTTGATTTGTTTGTTTGTTTGTTTGTTTGTTTGTTTGAACCATTCATGGGAAGGTCAATCTGGTCTGCAGATCGATTTTCATCGAGGTCACGAGGGAAGACCTAAGCGTCAGTAGATAGTAGATAGTAGATTCTTTCAGCCAGGTAGGTATCCATCCAGTTTAGGCTGCTCGTTGCTCTACCGGACTGTCATTCCCGGCCTATGCGGGCAATCCAGGGCCGTGTGATTGTACATAATTGTATGACTCTCCATATATTTGTCAAGTCTGTTCTTGAAGGCATTTACCGAGGGTGCAGAGACCACTTCTTCAGGAAGACTGTTCCACCAATTGGCCATTCTGCTTGTAAAGAATAATGCTCTTGTATTCCCCTTGAAGGTCTTCCTTCCTATTCTCAAGCTATGACCTCTTGTCCTTGATTCTGTTTTTTGTTGGAACAGGTTCTGTGTATCAAACATACCATGCATGTATTTATACGTGTTGATTAGGTCTCCCCTAATTCTCCTATAGACCAATGTTGGGAGTTTCAGAGTCAGACAACATATATAAAGAAGTAATTTATATTTGAAGTAATTGTAAGACGATACGAAGTAATTCTCACCAAAAGTTATACGGTGTTTGGATAAAGAAGAAAATACATAATATACAAACCAATGGGCGTTTTAGGGAGTAAGATTACTCACAATTATCGTTGTACTTTTGATTATAGATATTATTATGATTACTTTATTAATTTGATGATGTTGTGTCTTTGATATTGTATAATGCATTGATATGTTTTGCTATTTTGATATTCGTAACTTGTTGTTAGGTCCTTTATATTGTATTGACTTGTCCTGTGTTGTGTTTTATGTACCAGTGGCAGCCGCCACCAGCCTTTGGCTGCCTGGCTCCCACTTGTAATGCGTTGTTTGGCATCACCAATAAATGGAAATGGAAATGGAAATGTACTTGATGACAAACAACTGTAGTCTTTTTAGAAGTGGTTTTCGTATTGTGTTTTCCACTACAGACGGTTTCTGGCAAAAACCGAAAGCCTGTCGAATCCAGTGGAATCTCGCTACACAAAGCGCATGCGCAACGCAGGGACTCTAGACGTGGCTCGCATCTACTGACAGCGATGGAAGTCGAGCGCCTTAGTGCGCATGCTCTGCAGAGACACCAACATGGCTCTGAGGATACTAGTGACGTAAGGCTTGTGTGGTACTCTCTTTACTACTTTTTGTACTCAGTCTGTTATCTTTTTTTCGCT